GCAATACCTGCGGCCAGTGGAAGATGTGGCTACATCCCAAGATGACTGCTACAAGTTCGCCATCTCACAGTCGTCCACGGGCACGGTTATGGGAGCAGTTATCATGGAGGGCTTCTACGTTGTCTTTGATAGGGCAAGAAAACGAATTGGCTTTGCTGTCAGCGCTTGCCATGGTGAGAATGCCAGTGTATGGGGTCAAGCTATCCATGTTCTCCCTATCCAGCAGTCAGGATACCTGGGCCTGTCAGTCTGGGAGGTAGTAACAGTTGCCTGAAGCCAGTCAACATACTGGTTAAAGCCAGTATCAGTGCTCATGCTTTTTTTGTACTGTCTGCCTGGGTTGGTAACCTCTGTTGGATACCCAGGGCAGCAAGAGCTGCCTGGCACCTTGGGAAGCTCTAGATCCAAGGGCAGCATATATGGCAAGGTTGAATACCCCTTTAGAATGGTAGCAACTAGTCTTGCAACTAGATTTTAGCAGTGTCAAGTGAGTCTACTAGGTGTATATGGGGCCGACTTTTAATAGTCAACTCAGAACAACTGACTTTTGAGTATCATCCCTACTAGACAGATACACAGAAAAAGGTTATTGTTCCCAATGACCTAGGAGCAGAGACATGCTTCCACCTAGCACTGGCCTTCGACAGCTTCCTCAGGGGCTAATTTCAAGGCCTACTGGGAGTTCTTTTTGTTGTATAATGCAAAATGCTCTATGATGACACCTGCCCACTCACATGTGCCCTTTCTCCAGTGCACGATGAGTTCAGGACAGCAGCGGTAGAAGGCCCATTTGTCACCCTGGACATGGAAGACTGTGGCTACAACATTCCACAGACAGATGAATCAACCCTCATGACCATAGCCTATGTCATGGCTGCCATCTGCGCCCTCTTCATGCTGCCACTCTGCCTCATGGTGTGTCAGTGGCGTTGTCTCCGCTGTCTACGCCATCAGCACGATGACTTTGCTGATGACATCTCCCTGCTGAAGTGAGGAGGCCCATGAGCAGAAGGCAGAGATTCCCATGGACCACATCTGGGTGGTTGGTTCAATTTGGCCACAAGGAAACAGATGGCACCTGTGGCCAGAGCACCTCAGGACGCTTACCCACCCACCGAATGCCTCTGCCTTGACAGAAAAGAAGTAAAAGCTGGTGAGGTGGGTTACAGGATTGCACCTGTGGGAAATGAGAGGAAAGAAAGAAAGCTCTAGTGACAGGTATACTCTGTCACCTCAAACTTGACTTAGGAAATTCTGTTGCTTGAAAGTTCAACCCTGAGTCTTTGCCCATGCCTCTCAATCCCCCAACCCAAAGTATTCTTCTTTTCTTAGTTCCAGAAGTAATGGCTGCCACCCAGGTGACCCCAGTGGGCATCTCTGCAGTACCTGGAAGAGAAAAGGGCCAGTCTGTTTCCTTGCTGCCAAAGTCAGTAAGAGTGAATGCAGTTTGCTTTTGCGTTAGAGGTAGGAACTGTATCAACGAGCCTAACTTGGTGCAAAGACTGCCTCTTGAATTAAACAAAAAATCATTTGATTCAATAGTTGTACCAATGGGAGTAGTTGAAAGAGGAGGAGAGGGAGTGCAAAGACAGGGAACACAAGGGGATCCAAGCTAGGAAAGGTAGAAGCATGACTTCTCTCCAGTTCCAGTTTCAGATTTCATCTCGGAGACAGAATCCCATCTCCATAAAATGGTGTTGCTTCCCAGTGTTTTCTTTTTTGTGGCTGCAGCTGGACCAAAAGTAAGATGGGAAGAAGAGCTTATTTAACCAAAAAGCTTTTTATCTCTCTTAAATGAAAAGTAAGAGAGTTCCATGTAACAGATGAATTTCTACCTTACTGATTCCACTTGTCTCTATCTGAACGCCCTGCTCTATATATGCTAGGTACCACTGAAATATCCCAACCCTCCTAAACCCTAGTGCCCTGTGGAAAGCAACTGGAACAGTGCAAACAGCAGGGCTGGGCTTCATCTTGCTGGGTACCTCTTCACTCCCTCCCCCAAATCCCTAGTCCTCTGGAGCTCCGCCAATGAGGTGCTAAGAAGAAAAGACAGGAGACCACTCCTACCTAGTAATCCTTGAAAGCAGAATCCTGAATATTCATTCAACAGGCATAGGGGTGATGCCCTTTACCCACGCTTGGATTTCTTCTTGTTCAGCTTTAAGTTGTAGTAAGACCATTACATAATACAGAGCAATTTCATTGCACTCTCACCCTCTCTAATCTCTCACTCTCCATCTATTTGTGGCACAAGTATTATATACCAAGAGTGTCAGGAACACAGGGCTTTCAGGTTATAGCATCATTGCCTTCAGTATCAAGGCTGCGGATGGCAGCTTCAGGGCTTCCTTACTTCACCACAAGAGCCCGTGAATGGAATCCACCCTTTTCTCCTGTTCTGCTCTCTATTCCTCACCCCTAACAGTAGCTGGGTAAGCAGGCTGGTTCTTGGGCTACTTATTGGTGACCAAGTTCATTACCTATCACTTCTACCACAGTCACCTATGACACCAGTGTTAGTGAGAAGAGCTGAATTTTCCTAGTGTACCCACTGGATTTATTCCTTACATGGTCAACACACTGTTTCCAGGTATGGGACCTGTCAAGTGTGGAGTTATCTGATGAGGAGAGGGAATTACAAGAAGGGCCTCTGGAAATCCTGGCCTCAGCTGGCTGCCCACAAGCCATAAACCAATAAATCAAGAACACTGAGTCATAGTTTTTTATGTGGATTCTCTTCATTCCCCTGCGCTTGGTGCTTCTTTGGCTAAATGGGAACACCACATAACTATTATGACAGACAGGAAGACTGGAGATTGTCTACTTCCAGCTTGAAATTTACTGTGTAAATAAACTTCCAGAATTGCTACCATGAAATAAAAATGTCATATTCTACTTTATAATTTCTACCCATGTTGGGGAAAACTATTTTCTCAGTTCTTTCCAGGGCATAAAATTCAATCCCTTCATTAGTAAGTTCCACTCTCCTACTCTCCTATTTTTCTTTAAGAGAAACCTGGGCTTGCTTTTTACAGTTAACGTCCTTTCTACCCTGAAACTATAAACTCTAAGTATACAAAGAAAAATGTTGACCACAGCTTCTTGCCTATACAAATATGTATTCTATGTCTCTATTTTAAATTCTACTCCAGGAAAATGGTTGTCCCCACTTTCCTCACGGTACTGGGGCCTTTCTCACTGACTGCATGGCTTTTCCTGCCACAAGGCCAGCGGGCAGAAGGAAAGGGAGAACAAGGCTGGCTAAAACTTCAGTGCTGCTTTCTGACCAATCCTGCACAAGGAAAAGGAAAAAGCAACAATAAGGCTCCAGTTCGCATGTACAACTCTCCAAAACATTTGTCCTCCTGCTGTAGTTGGCTTTCAAGGGCTTTTGCTAGGTATCAGTTAAGCTCCCCCTACCTACTTCCTCCTTTTCCTCTCCTTTGGATTAAATAACTTGTGTAAAAGAAACATAATATTCTTCATATATACTTTAAATTTCTAAAATTTTAGGGGATACTAAAATATACTGCAGGTAGCCTGAGGACTGCTGCAAAATTGAGGGGAAATAAAATCTTAAGTTTACAAAATTTAAAAAAAAAAAATGAATCCTCCAACAAATAAAAAGAACAAAGGAACTGCCCTTCCATTTTGCCACATTTCCTGATCATGACAGCTACCACACTGGAGACATTCATATTTTATTAACCAAAGGAAGTGGGTTAATGTCACTTCATTAACCCACTCAGGCCATTTCAATGACCCTATAAGATGCCTAGGAGGTTCTGGGAAATCCAGTTCCTTAGACTGATGTCAGTCAATAAATCTGGGCAAGTAAGACAAGAAAAGAGGAAGAATATGTCCATGAGCCGATAGATAAGGATGAAAGACAAAGAAGAAAAAGAATAACAAAACAGGAGAGAATCAGATGAACATGAAAACAAACTTTGCTACACTAATGTATTGCTAGTGTAAGCATTTCCAGATCCCAGAATGGAAAAAAAATTCAGCCGTTGGTGATATAATAATATCCTTTCCCATGGAGATATTTTTTTAAATTAACACTTAGTTTTCAGTTGTTAATTCCAAAAGAGAAGGGTGCTGAAGCCACTTCTGCTAAGGGTAAAGATAAAAGGGTAAGAAAAGATTCAAAGCTCTAACAGAGTCACAGTTTTCCTAAGCATAAACCAGAATTGCTCAGTAAGTAGAGTTGGAAAATGATCTAGTTCCAGATAGCTGTCCATATAACAAATGACATATAAACCTGAAACCCCAGCTCTCTTCACATCACTTTGGTCTCCATTTTACCCAGGGCAGGACATGTGCCCTCCATCACTTTCTTGCTTCAAAAATTAAAACCCAGCATCTCAAGATCATTCTGAAAATAATTTTGCAGACACCTCCTCACCCCAGTGCCTGCTTGGAGCTCATTCAAGGTCACCACACAACTTGGTTGTGAACTACCTGCCTTCACTTTCAAGGGGGAATGGTATTAGGTAGACTAGGAGACCAGAAGTCCAGGAGGAGAGGTAAGGACTTCACAAGGTTGACTAAGTCCACAGTGGCAAGGGATGGCTTGCCAGAAGAGACCTGTGGATTGTGCTAATTTCTAGAGATGACTATCTAGAAACAGAAGTTTGTGAGGGTGTGAGGGAAATGGGACTTGGTTATGCTGTTATTCTTAAGACTGTGGATTTTGCTGATGTAAAACAGAATATTCTGTAAACCTAAAGTTTATATACAAAAAATGAGCACTAACAGAGTAAAATACTCAATAAAAAGTCAAACTATTAGGGTTACATTTTTTTCCTCAATCAGTCTCATTTTTCCATTTGAAGTAGAGTTGCTAGAACACACTGAGGCTTGGGAGGCTTTCAATAAGCAAGGCATCCATTTGGACAGTGAGTGAGCACCAGGGCTGAAATCTGCACACATAAGATTCAAGAAAATGGACTAGTAGTTGAGCCAAATCAAAGTAGGATAGCCTTAGAGCAACAATAGCTTCCTAATGGTTTTTATATTGTATTTGGAAACAGATTTAGGCAGCAATATCATAATTTCAAGGTCAAACTAAACATCATCTTAGCTACACTCTGCATCCCCCAAAGGGAATGCATGGTGAAGGGGACAGACCATTCTGCATAATATACATACTTTCATTACGAACATTTGAATACAGACTTTCTATACACACATTACCCTATATAATAAAAATGTACATGGTATGAGTATATGTCACTGTATAAATATAGAGTTTTAGAAATCTTGAACCCGCGTTTCCTGTTCACATCAGTTTCTCTTCTTCTTCCTCCCCAATCAGGTCCGTCATTTAAGAGTTGGACAAAAGGGACAAGTGTCATTTGTGTTGGTCTGGGCCCAGAATTTGATACACTGGAAAGAAAAAAAGACATACCTCAAGTTTATCTGGAAAGATGGAAGGAAGGAGGAGAGAGAGTGTTATTAAGGTTCAATGGGTCAAAGAAATATTTACTAAGTCAGAAAAGCGCTTACCATGGGGGATTAGGAGGTCTATTTCATTTACTCTTACCCCCAAAAGAATCTTCAGAGCAAGAGAACCTGTTCTTTTTATAGGCAACATGAACAATCAACTAATAATAGTGTGAAGCTGCTTTTTTGTTGAATAGCTAGGCTTGCTCCTTCTCATGATCCACTTAGGCTCAAATGAGCTTCTATCTGCTAATACACATCACCTTAAGTTTTTTCTCAGAATTTTTCCTCATCAAAAATTTAGATGTAAATTCAGTTTCTACCTTTAGTTGCAGTAAAATAAGCAAAATAAAATAGTAAAAAATAATCATCCCAGCTGCTAAGAGACTTAACTCTGCTGGGTAACCATAAATATAGGAATAATTTGTCAGTTTGGATAGATAATCTCTAACAGGCAGGTCTTCAAGCAATTCTGTTAATGGAGTTTAACTAATCTCATATTCAGGTTCTCTATTCCATTCCTCTCATCTACGCAAAGTCTGTCAACAATGCTATATTTGAAACAACAGTTAGATATATATATCCTATTATCAATTTTTCAAGAAAGTGACCTATCAGTGCTCTATTATAACCTGCTTATCAAGTCCTCTACAGAGAACAGGGTAAAAGGAAGCTGGGAGAGCCTGGCTTCCACTATTCTGAATTCTGCTGATGTTTATGCCACAATTTACCAAAAACCTTACACTTAGATACTAGGGATAAGCATCAATACTAAAATGTGTAAGAAAAATCAAATCACCTTAGTTGTCAGAAAAGAAAGAGTGGAAAATGAGGAAGGAAAGTAGCACCCACCTCCTTATGCAACACATGAGTACATGCCATTGGGTGCAGCTCACTGGGCTGGACAAGTTTCTGGCACATAAGACACAGCTTACAGGTGGCTGGAGCCTGCATAACAAAGGAGGGATGGTTAAGAGCATAGAAAAATGAGAAAGCTCTGAGTCTCTTAGCCTTTTATGTCCATGATTCCAGCTACTGTTTCCATGTAGTAAAAAGATTTTACACTAGAAGAGGTGAAAGTTCATATAGAGATTCTTGCCAAAAGTACTTACATTTTCCCAGTTGCGGCTACCAACAACCCAGCTGATGACAGAATAGCTTCTTCCTGCACTCAACTGTAAACCCACTCCCTTCTTACCGACATTCTCTCCCCCACCTTCAAATCCTAGTTTTCAAAGAAAATGAGCCTTACATGTGAAGACCTTCCAGGATATGAAACTTGTGCAGAAGGCAAGAACATTGGGGTACTGATTTGGGTCAACGGAGCAGGGAACAAGGCCCGGATCCGACCAAGTGGCTGTGGGCAGAAACAGTGTCAGAGTAAGGAAAGAGTCTGAGTAACAGAGTATGTAACAAAAAGAAATCATTTAGTACCCAGTTGGCAAAGGAAAATAGCAAACTAGATCCCCTGGCTGCAGTGCTGCCTCTCCCCCACATCCTGGCAGGTCTGAGCCCTCAGCAGCATGTCCTACCTGGGTGCTGGCTGCTGCCCGTTCATGCTCTGCCAACCGTGCAGCCACCAGCTGGATCAGCTCCTCCATGGTCAGGCCTGCCATGGTGGTGCGCGCTGTCTTGATCTGCTGAAGGATGTTGGTCATCTGGGCCCTAAAAAAGAAAAGGAGAGACAGACTTGTGGGGAATATCTATGAAACCTCTCCTATTTTAGCCCATCAATTTCTCTGACAAGTTTTACAAATTTAGTCCTGAAAAACACTTACTTATTGCATTGTGGGAACCGGGTCAGCAGCTTTTCCAGGATCTTCTCCAGTTTGTCTACTGGTTGGGGCCGGGGAGTTTCAGTAGAAGCCTTAACACCACCCAAGCCTGGGGGAGGTGGGATGGAGGCAGCAGGGGGCATGTGTGGACCATGGGCGCCAACAAGGGAACCCAAGCCAGGGCTGTTTCTCCCATGGGAGCCAGGAAGGGGTGGGGAAGGCTGGCTGGGTTGGGAAAGGGCAGGGTTCAGGATTGGGAAAGATAAGGAACGGGGATCTGCACTGGGCATGACCATGGGCATTGTGACCTGCCCAATGGAGAAGGGCATCCGAGGAACCAAAGAGGGACTGGGTTGGAACACCTGAAGCATGAAGTCTGTCTGCAGAGCGGAAGAAGCAGAAGAAAAAGAGAAAGCAGGAAAATGAAAGTTAGGAAACTATCGCTGAAATCAATGAGCAACTCTTGTATCAAATAATACCAATAAAAACAATAATAATATAATAACAAAAGCAGTATCTTCTTTAAAAGAACAAGCAAAATATGCTGTCACAAAAAAAACCTGATTCCCCAAAGCCAACATTTCAACCTACTTCTGATGGGGGTGGAGGCAAAGTGGGAGTAGGGATTTGAGGCAGACTACTCAGCTTGGCTCCATTCCTCACTAGTTGGATATGACTATTAAATTGGTCCTAGAATAGAGAGAAAGGACAGGATTATCTTTTACTACTGAGCTGAGTGAGGATCCCTAGAAAAAGAGCACCTTCCCATATGAAGAAAACAAAGGGAGTGGTAGAATAGGCTCTAAATGGAGGTGTAAAAGGTCCCTCTCTATCACCAGAAGTATTTAAGCATAGATTAACTCAGACTCAATGATCCCTGTTACCACACTTACCCGGACATTCTTTTTCATCATCCGAACTCCATTCAGTCTTGTCTCCCACTCCTGTTTAGAACGAACTGTCTCTAGGGTTGGGGGAGTTGACCTTTCAAGAAACCAATAGGAATTTGTAGAATTAAAGAAAACCTAACTCCCAACACTCTGCGCTAGCATAACAGTATGCTGGCTAATGGGCCTGGAGAAAAGAGGTCAAACCAGATGCAAGAAAATGCCAAAGATCTAGGTCATTTGCCTCATTTTAACTCCAGCATCTTTTAAGCCAAATACTAGAGAAAGAAAACCAACCACTGAGACAGGGGTCTTATTTGCCTGGAAGTGCCACATGGAAACTCCAGATCCCATGGCAAAAAGAGGAGAAATGACTGTATAAGAAACAAATCTACAAAGAAAGTTGTAATGATCTGACAGTATAAGAGATACTATTTATACAATGGGAACTAATACAACAGAAAATACAAAACTATAGAAGTGTAAAAGGGAAGAGTTGGAGAATGAGGATGTTATAATATGGGAAGAGAAATCACTGAACAATTACTACTGTACATAGATGACCGTGAAATTCCTGTGAAAATAAGTGCCAGACTAGTTAGCCTAGGGTTTCAAGCCTTAAAAATAACTAACTAACTAACTAACTAACTAACTAACTAACTAACTAAAAAGAACCCTTCCCCCGCAAAACTGCAGGACCATTAAGATTCTAGAATGGGAAGATACTTACTTGAGATAAGTAAGGTGCAGTTCTGCCTCTTTCTCTGCTTCTTCTAGCTTTAACACCAGCAACTCTTTCCGGCTCTCTAGTGATAAGATCTAATGAAACCACACATACGCACACATTTTATTAACTGTACATAAAGTTCAGTTGAAACAAATGCTTGGTGGCTGTATGATGTAATACTTACATGTCCTAGTGGTATAATGCTGTACCAAAAGGATACACCATCTGGAAGCCCCAAAGCAAGACCTTCAATATAGCAACTGTTCTCACCTCTGCCTTCCAGGCCCGTTCTGTCTCTTCCATAATATTCTGATTTATTTCACCATCCTGATTCTTGAGTCTATCCAGTTCCATTTCCCATACCTCTCTGTAAGATAAGAAATGAAGAACAGAACTAAGGGGAGAAAGACACTAAGGCAAAGTAAAACCCCAAACTGCCAGCTATGTTACAGAAAGCCTTACTCTAAAATATGAACTACAGATAATAGACAAGTAATGTTTAAAACAGTCTGTAACTGCAAAAAGGCAAGTAAAATTTGAAAGTAAAAATGTTCATATCTCCACTTGCTAAAATAAGGTTACCCAGAGCAGGAAAAACTGTACTCAGAACCAAATCCACTAAAGGCAGAAAGTTCTTCTGTGTTGAAAAAGGACTCAAAACTATTATAGCATTCCTCTTATTTCCAACTTAACTCTTGGTATGGGTACTGAACAATGCAGGATGAAAACAGAGGTCCATTTAATACTAATCACTAGTTTATTGCTAAGCACATAGTTACTGGCTTACTGAATTTCTTATTTTCTTAGGGTGAACTTTCTTCAAAAAGAAAAATAGCTGCCCTGTGCACCTAGTACCGATGGCGTTCCCAGGATGGGGACCCTGATTAGGACTATCAGTGCCAATAAAGGAACAGAGCCAGCAAAGAAATTCCTTCCATTACATTTGACTGTAATATGTTTTATGGCTGAAAGCAATAGGATTACCCAGATAGTGGACAGAATAACATGGAAAAGTTTAAAATATTTAAAAAAGGTGAAAATAAAAAGGAAGGGCTGAAAGAAGTTACACTGTAAAAATGTTCCCAGTTTTGTCCTGACCAGAATGACTCAGTTGGTCAGGCATCACCCCGTAACTGGAGACACTGCAGGTTCAATTTCCAATTGAGGTCCCTGCCTGGGTTGGGGGTTCAGTCCCCAGTCAGACTGCATGTGGAAAGCGACTGATCAATATCTCTCTCACAATAATGTTTTCCCCCTCACTTCCCCCCCTCTAAAAAAAGAGAGAGAGAAAGAAGAAAAATGTTCCTAGTTTTTTTCAGTGAGAGAAGCAGTTTTATGCCTCTTGTGTTTTTTTAGCAGCCTTACATATGTGAAAGGGAACAACTCATTTAAACTGTTGAGGTCTCTTCTTCTTTCACTTGGCCCAATCCTCCACACATCCCTGTTCTCTATTTCAAAGATAAAGTATTGGTGTGTTTGTGTGTGTGTTATGCACATATTTATTGATTCACTAACATTAGTCTGTCCCTCTACAGACAAGGTCTTCTTAATATAACAGAAATGACTAGGTGGGCATTTTCTTTCTTAATCTCCAGGTGTTGGCCTCCTCAAATTAACTTCCTGCCAGAGGAAAAATTCTCTAATAGTACTTTCCATAAAGGTTTATAGTAGATATATTTTTCTGTTACAACACAAATTCCTCAAGTTCAAAAATACATGAGGAGTCACCCTTTGCAACAGCATGGATGGACTTGGAAAATATTATGCTAAGCAAAACAAAATAAGCTGTCAGAGAAAGATAAACACCATATTATCTCACTCATGTGGAATCTAATGAACAAAATTAACTAATGAACAAAATAAAACCAAAGGCAGGAATACATGGAACAGACTGACAGATTTCACAGGGGAAGGGGTCAGGGGACTGGAAGAGATTAGCCAGAGAACATATATGCACAGCTCATGGACACAGGCAACAATGTGATGAAGGCCAGGGACTGGGGGAAGGGCAGAAGGAGCTTGGAGGGGGGAAAGGGGAAAATAGTGAATGAAATCTCCAATAGTATCAACAATAAAAACCCTAAAAGCAAAAATAAAAAATGCTGCTCTATAATACAACAAACAACTTAAGTTTTTGTAAGAAAACTGGAAGCAGGATCATTCACTATGGGAGAATTACAGGGAGGAGAGTGAACTTGAGGAAAAAATAGTAAGGAATGAAAGAGTGGGAGGGGAATGAAGGAGGGAAATAGAACAAATGTAATGGCATAACAATAAAAAAAAGAAAAAAAAGAAAGAGTGGACACTTAGGACTGATGGAAAGCATCATAGGCTCAGCTCATGGGAGAGGCAGTCCACGAAATGTGTGTGCGCGTGCATGTGTTTGCAAGTCCAGTGGTCCTAGTGGATGAGCAGGAGCTGGAGATCAGCAGGACAGGTATAATGGATGTATAAAAAGGTCAGGGAACTGGAGATTCTGGCAGAAAGGAGTTGAAGCTCCCCTTCCACAATTACCCCATCTCAAACCTGCTATGTGAGAGAAAGTTAATGTTTTTCAAAAAGCTATTAAAGTTACAACCATATACAGACAGAAAAATGAGGAGTCAAAATTCTCTTACCATATGAATATGTGAAATATGTGGGGTCAATCAATGATCTCTGTAGCTACTAGTCACTCTTTGACAATGGGATAATTGTAGAAAAACATTACAATTGCCTTCTTTGATTAATGTTACTTTTGAAGATTATAGATGCTCACTGAATATTTCTAACCTCATTAAATATATTTTGCCAACTACAGATATACATATATATTAGAAAAATCCTCCTACCATGCCCATGAAAACATTCCACATATTCACACACAAAAAATGCTTTCCTTTTGAGCATTTGGCCACATGTACCTCATTGGAATCCAACAAGATGAAAGGGACTACTAGCAACAACCACCACAACAACTGCTAGCAAACAGCTTAAACAATCATAAAAATGTACAGCCTTATATGTTAACTAGCCTGTAACATATATATATGCCATATTTCATTTCACTAAAGGGTACTACCTGCAATCCATGCTAGAAAAAAATCAATTGCCTGCAGTAGATGGTTAAAAAAATCTTTGGTAGAATAGATATAGTACAATGAGTCTATTATAACTTTTTAAATGCTTGATCTCATTTTTTTCAAGTCCCATGCTTCTGTTATTTTGCATAGTTAGTTCAGGGAATCAATGGTTCAAATGACTAAATCCTACCAAACTGTACAAGCCTAACCTGTAGGTCACAATGTTTCCATAATTATAAAATTATTTTTGTTTTTGATCATGTAAATAATACAAATTATAAAAAGTTCAGAAAATACAAAACATACAGAATATAACATAGAGGTCCCAAATCTTCTGTTTATTGATTGTATAACCCTGGACAAGTTAAAATTTTTAGGCTTCAGTTTCTTCATCTGAAAAATGAGTAGCATCTACAACACAGGACTCATGGAAGAATTCACTGAAAGAACACACATAAAAAATTTAATACAGTGCCTTGGCTGGTGTGGCTCAGTGGATTGAGCACCAGCCTGAGATGAAATAAAGGGTCACTGGTTCAGGGCACATGTCTGGATTACAGGCCAGGTCCCCAGTACGGTGCATGCAAGAGGCAACCACACATTGATATTCCTCTTCCTCTGTCTCCTTCCCTTCCCCTCTCTCTAAAAATAAATAAATAAAATCTTGAAAAAAAATAACACTTTAAAAAAACATGCAATACCTGACTAGTTGGGCACTGACCTTTTTCCTTAGCTTGTCAAATAAAAAAATGACAAAAGCCAACACAACAGCTGTCCCATATGAAAGAATCAAAATTATACCTTTTTTTTGTCAGATTGGCAAAAAATGACTAATCCAGCATCACTCAACCAATAATAAGACAGGAATTGAAATACAGCTACTTTGATTTTCTTACCAGATCTATGTGATCATCTCACGAAATGCTGTTAGAATTTTATTTATTTTAGAAAATGTTTACACAAAGTAGATTAAGTGGAGGAAACATCACAGCATCTTTCAGCTATGATAAACTGAATACAAACATACCTAACCTGCTCCTAAATAAGTAGGGGCAGCAGAAGCAAGCACCTCTCCTCTCCACTGACTCCACTGGGGGAGATTTCCCTTATTTCAGAACCTTAGAAGAAATCTTCATGTTGGTTGACTGTGGGAGAAATGTGAATGACAATATAACTCTTCTGGGGAAACATACAGGTCTGTAAAACTCTACATTTCTCTGGACTTAACTCACTTGGGTGATTTCATCTGAAGGTCAGGAAAGACATGAAAGATGCAGTTAAAGATCCTACAACTTTCAAACCATTATTACGTTTTGAGTCTTGGTGTTGGATGCCAACATCAAAACACAAGGCATGGAACTTTCTTCAAAAAGATCTGATTGCAGCAAAAGCACTGTAATCAATATGTACTCACTGCTATTTTCTATTAAATAATTGATAATACATATACACACATAGATTAAATGCAAAAATAGATAGGAGAATTAAGCTTCTTCTGTTAAGGACACTTAAAATAAAGTAAACAATATATCATTCTTCTAACTAAACTGATTTTTGCTTTGGGCTAGGCAAAGATTTCTTGGACCACAAAAGAAAAAAAAGGTAAATTGAACTTGATCAAAATGTAAACATTTCCATTTTAAAAGACAGTGATATGAAATGCAAAGGCAAGTCACAGACTGGGAGAAAATATCTGCAAAACATCCATCTGATAAAAGAATTATTGAGTAATAAAATAATAAGAAAATAACATGCTTTTTTAAATGGGTAAAATACTCAAATAGTTCTTCAAAAAGTAAAAAGACAAATGACAGATAATCACATAAAAAGATGTCTAACAACAACAGCCATTAGGAAAATTCAAATTCAAATCACAATGAGAACCCTGACCCATGTGGTTCAGTTGGTTGGGCACTGTATTGCAAAGCAAAATGTCACTGGATCGATTCTAGGTCAGGGCAAATGGCCTGGGTTGCAGGTTTGGTCCCCAGTCTGGGAGTGTACAATAAGCAATCAATCAATATTTCTCCCTTGCATTGATGTTTTTCTCCCTCTTTTTCTCCTTATCTCTAAAAAATAAATGAATTTTAAAAATCACAATGAGATATCGTTAAACACTCATTAGAATGGCTAAAATGGAAAAGACTGATAATATCAAGTATTGGTGAGGAAGTGGAGTAACTGCAATACTTATATGTTGCTGATAAGAACGCAAAATAGAAAAGCAAGCACCTTTGAAAAAAGTTTGGCAGTTTCTTATAAAGTTAAGAAAATATAGCCCAACATTCCTACTCCTAAGCATTTA